GTGCAATAACTTGGTTAGGAAAGATTTCACTTATTTCGTAGAGACTAGATTTGATTTGAGCTCGTCGTTGGAAAATTGGAAAATTGGAAAATCTTTTCTTTTTTTTTTTTTTTTTCTTTTCAGTTAAACAGTTAAATTAGACCACAGTCAATTATCATTGGGCGCAGCGCAGATGCATCGACGAAACTTGCTCGTCTGTATCGAGCTTAAAATTAATCAAGCGTTTGCGTAATGTGCGAAGCAAACAAACGAACTGCAGCACGCTCGCGCGGCGTAACAATGCCCGCCTACGCTCCTCATTGTCAGACGAGGAATACAAAACGCGATAATTCACGCCGTAACTTTGTTATCCTATTAAATAATGTAACACGCTAGCTGGTGTCGGTGCGGACCGATTTTTCTCGTTACTCGAGCGATATCAACGTGATGCGTAGACGCGTATCGATGCGTTGCAAACTGTGACTGTTGCAAATGCCAAGTGAAACGCTTTCGTTTACGAAACCGGCCGCGTAAATATGAGTATTCGGATCGCATCAACAGGATTATCCAGTTTTTCGTCTGTGCGATCGAAATTTTCGATCGATCATTTTTCCTGGTACGTTCTATAAATTTCACGTTTCCTTGCCTCTCGTGGCGACTTTGCAGGACTTTGTGAAAAACGAATAACGCTGTAAACAACGTGTTCGAGAAATATGTCGGAATGTAGAAGTGTATTCCTTATAATGGAAGATTATAGTTGTTAGCTGGCGAGAGATAGCTTTCACACGTGAACCAATATTTGTGGTGAGATTAACGTCTGATAAGTAATAGAATAAAGACTGTCGCGCGAGACATGCTCATCTCGACAAACACGTAGACGTAAAAAAAAAGATTTCCCGACTTTGAGACGAAGATTGGCAAAAAAATCACAAGGATCAAACGCGCCAAAGGAAAGGAAAGGAAAGAAAGAAAAAAAGAGAAAAAAACAGATGGAAATTAGTTTGGACAGAGAGGTGTCCATGCTGGTAGCTGTTAGCGAGCGTAGAAGAAATGCTGGTATGTTGTATCTAAACGCGGTGGTCGTGAACCCGGGTTCAAGCTTTACGATCGCGCTTACAGCTGGATCCGCCGCGATATCGTTTACCAGCAACACCAATGCAATTACACAATGGAGTAGTAACGGCCAATAGCCGGCGTGATAAACCTGGCCGTGTGTCGATTCGGTGAGAAACGCGGCGTTGCTGCATGCATGAACTTCGGACGTATCGGGCCGGAGTGGGCATCGAGTCGACTTGTAAATCACACGATAAATCAATTATTTATATGTTGTGTGGGGCGGCGAGCAGCGCAACGTGTACCAGCGAAGAGAAACGTGACTCGGGGCAGCGTATTTTCCGCGCGTTACGCCATCGGTTCAAGTCGATCCTAGTTCGGCTCAAGATCGTCGTGCTCGAATGATCTCACGGCACGGCTATAATATGCTCAACCTGCGATCGCGTGTACGCCATTTTCGCGGGTGTGATAGAATCAATGGGCAGGAGAGAAAAGAAAAGAGTGCGATTTACAATACACGGGAACAATAAGCAGAGCACGGGTGTGTGTGTGTGTGTCGTGGATTACGTGATGCGAATTAGCCTGTTTTTGGAATGATTGATAAACACTTCTATAGAAACGGTTAGTGACAATGTGTAAGAGGATTGCGTAACAATTATCGAAATATGGTGGAGCGACGATTATTCTGAAGCGAGCCAGCTCCACCCCCGCGTAATTATTCTTTGCAAAGCCATTTATTAACTACCTCGTTAACTGTATGCGTGCAACGCGTCGTAGAGAATACGTGAAACGCGAATGTTTTATATAATGATGCAAATCGTCTTGTAAATTTTACAAGATCTGAAATTAGTAGTAAACACAAATGACTAACCCAAAGGGGAACGTAGCGAGGTGTCAATCGCCGATTTTGACGAAATTTAATTTTGAGAATGTAGTTCTCGAACAAATATTTTTTTCTTATCGGCAATTGAAGGGGTGAAAACTACCCTTAAAGTTGGATACATATTTTGTCTAATGCCTAAAAAACTACTAAAGACACCGTTTTCGTAGAAACTGTATTTTTCCAATAACTTTTGCATTTGTTCAAACGATATATTTAAATCTTAGTACATTTTCTGGAACGTCTGTTTAACGAAAACACAGATCACGGATAAATTGGAATCTAAATCTTCGTGTTACAAAAAAACAAAAAAGTTACTTTCGAATCTTTGTCTTGTTGGATGCGCAAAGCATGATGCATACTTGAATTCTTTCTTGTTGGTAAATGCGCGTAAGTAGAAAGAAATTACAATTCACGAGCAGAATTGAATAAAATGTGTGCCAACGAGTTGGAAAACTACACAATTACACGAGAGAGTCGTCGATTTTATTCGCGAGGCGGTCAGAATGGGAGAAACTGAATAAAGAGCAACGCGGACGGTTTAAAAACGAGCAGGTTCACGCAAACCGGCCACGAGCACAACGGATGTGTACAAATTCACGGTACAAGGAACGTCCATTCGCTGGCCAACGAAAGACAAAGGGACTTTGCGATGGGGCGAAGGCCACCAAAGAGATATGTTTTCATTTCGATGCAAATAGGGAACGTGAGGTGGAAAGAAACGAGAAGGAAAGAGAAACGAAAATGACAAATCGACTTGTCTCTCGATATTTCCAAGTTTCTGCACCAGAGAACAGTAACAAAGGGAACGAAAGCTTCCGAGAGGGAAGCGGGCAAAATAACACGTACGGGCAAAATTTTCCTCGGTAGAATAGCAAATGCGAATTCCACGTCTAATGGACGTCGCTCTGTTCGAAAACGGCATCTCCTAATTATGTACTTCGAGCAGCGTATAACGAGTCGCTCAACGATTCATCGGCACTGGACCAGCAGACACACTCGGAGAGAGTCTGCAACGACGCCCCGTGCCGGTCTCCATAACGATTTATTGCACCTACCGCGATACATATTCATCGTGTGTGCGTTTGAACGTCAACCATTCCGGCTTGTTGGGGAAAGGCGTTGCCAATAACTCGGGGCCCGAAAATGAACCTCGACGCGAAACAAGCTGCCAAGTAAAACTCAGACTTCACTCCGCGCAGATTAATGAAATAAAAAAAGAAGGCTGTCGATAAACATAACTTGGTGCTGTTAGGCGAGCACTTGGACTGCCAATAAAGGGCACCCTCCCTCCCCTTGTTTCTGTCCCTGCTCTCGTTCGATCGATCTAGTTTTCTCCGTTCGTACGAGGAAATAATTGCGTAACTTAGGGTCCAGCAATGTGGAAACGTACGATACACATTCGCGGAAAGAAGTAAAACTCCGAAGATGGAAATATTCTGATGGCGAATCGATAAATATTTGAAAGTAGAACTGAGATAAAGTGATATGATGATACAGCTGCACGTTATGCAACGTGTAAGAATAGTTTCGACCGGATGGTGAAGAATATACTTGCTATAATAATAATTTTATTACTTTTAGCTTATTTATAATCTGTTTTTATAGGGCTGTATCGTAAGATCGATGACGCAACTTTGCGAGTAAATAATAAAGTAATAATTGGATAATAGAGGTGCGTTTATTGCCCACTTGTATTAAATATTGATGAAGTGAACTGAGATCTGCGGTGAATGGTATACATGTGTATATACAAATTTGAAAGCTATCTACGTTTAAATACATTTTCTATACACACTGTCGCACGAGTGTATTGTATATACACGTATTCTCGAAATATCCAGAATCCTTTCTTCTGCTTCATTTCCACGTATCTGTAAATATTGTTCCGAGTAACTTCTCCTGTCCTGAGTAACAACTCCTCCCGTTCTCAGATCGTTCGAACAGTAAAAGTAATAATTATTCATGTAGCCCGCTTATCCTTTGCTCACCCTGTGACCTAGAAATGGGCGTTGGGATATTACGTAACTCGCACACACTTGCTGGTAGCAGTTACTCCAACACTTGGATTCGTTCGAAACAACGAAAATGCACGACTCGCAACGTGAAATAAAGAAAGAATTTATCAATAAACGATAAATTCATCCTCGTCGAAATAATCGAGAACATCGAACAAACGGATGTCAATAGGAAACTTGCTCTTGTTGGTTTATTTAATCTTTGTTTACCAAAAGAGACAGAGAGACAGAGAAAACGACAAATGGTGAAAGACAAAGCTAGGCGATATTACGCGGAACGGTAAATGAGACAGGGGGTTTCTCTGCGACCGAACGACGACAGACTGCCGCTATACACTCGTTGTTATGCAACGAAGCATGTGGACCCGGCTGAGTGCCGGCTAGTGAAATCAGCGAAATGAGCGAAACAGCGTTCTTTCTTTCTCGTGGCGCAGAGCGCACGTGCATCTCGAAGGTTCACTGTACTAGACACTTCTTTATACACAAACGTACATAACCTTTTCGTCCGTTCCGGTGTCGTTCGTTTCGAATCTTATCTTCTTCCCATTATTTGACAGGAAGTCACAGAACGTTGTGTGTATGTATGTGTGTGTGTGTGTGTGTGTGTGCGAAGAATTTCATTCGAAGGAAGGAGAAAATGAGAGAAAAATTACGGGAATCGTACTCACCACAGACGTTCAGCCAACCCTCGACGCGGCAAGGATACTCCAGTTTCATCGTGGATCGTTGCGGCCCAACACCAACTGCCGAAGATATATCGCACAAGTACACTTGTCACATAAGAAAACGAACGGACGTGTTGTCACTGTTAAAGATCATCCGCGACACACATTCTCTCGTGCGTCGACGCGTCGCGGGACAAACCGACGTATTTTTCTTTTTTTCTCTCTCTTTTTTTTTTTGCTTCTTCTCCCAGCACAGAGACAGAACGACGCACGAAACTGCGAGAGAGAAGTAAATCACGCGGAAATGTTGCTGCGAATGCGAGCATTCACGCACCGTCTGGCGTTGCGCGCGCAAACTGTCGACACGATCCACGCACACCGGCGAACAAATCCGAACTAACTCAACAAACCCTCTCACGTCCTCGTTCAGCCGATCTTCCTTCTCTTTCTCTCGCGCGTGGCTTCGTCGTGGCCACTCGCTTTCAGGTGGTGCGCTCATCCCGCGTACTATTACCGCGCAACTGTCTCCTGCTGTTTTTTCACTTATTTCCGCTTCGCTTATTCCACCGGGGCAATCGATTCGTTATTTCTCTACGAAACTACGAAAAACGCGAACAGATTGAACATAGGTTTTGAATTAACGTTCGATAATAACGGCGACGTTCGATTTTCGAGATAAACCGATGCTACGTGGTTCGATGTATCGAAGGTACGAATTGAAAGAGCCAACTGCCGCCATATTTATCACTGACTCGAAAATTACGACGTTAATGAAATTACGTTTCATGCATTGTAATTGCGCAATTCAGTCATTATACCGATAATTTGTCCCGTGTGATATTTATTGTAATCTGAAGAAACAGTCTCATAATTGTATGTGTACTATTTCATTACGAACCGTTTAAAATATTTTTCTTACTTTCACTGTTTAATTAATTAACCTCGTTATATACTTTTGACGCGTCGATGAAACGTCTTTTAACGGAATATCTATCGCAACCGTCTCGCTCACCTGTCGTCAAATTTTTTCGTTGCCGAATCCACATTATTATATCAACACGAAATTGTTCCCCATCGTGACATTTTTCTAATATAAAGAAATTAATTACTTAGACACAACTGATTTAACGAAACTTGCGAATACAGAGAGTAATTTATTAATAACTCACGTTACCAATCGCGACCCGGTGTCATTGATTCGAACGAAGGAACGTTACTGCAGATAATTACAAATTATAAGATGATTCTCGAATTATCTACTCCGTCACTTCTGAACGCCACCTGGTAACCAAACTCGTAGTCAGTCACCAGCAAAATGGCGCTCAAGGGACAGGTTGGTCAAAGTGAGTAATAAAAAACTAATGTAATTTTTCGCGACGTAAACAAAATTTCAAAATTCGTTTGTACAATAATGTTTAAGTAGCCTGACAGATTCATTTCATATGAGAGTCGTATCATTGGCACTATTTGTCAGTGCTTGTAACCTCCAAAAGGGCGTATATGCTGTGATGATTTCATCGTTTACGAAGCGGCTGCTAGATAAAAACGTCAAACCTATGTTTTCGAATCGTGTTACGCTGGAATCGTCCGTAAAAAATTGCATGCTCCGCTGCGTACGTAAAATAACGTAGAACGTGAACATGCGTGCTTATCAATCTTTCAATCTATTGATCTTGAAAGTTTACTTTATTGATATTCTATCTTAATAAATATTAGGCTTTAATCTCGAGGAATTTGGTTAATAAATTTTATGTTTGGTAAACACGAAGAAGATTCTGTCTTGTTTCGTTAAGACGTATTTTATCAGCAAACATTTATGCTTGAATTTACAATTATTTGCGTTAAAGAATATATAATAATTTACAAATAAAGTAAACGTTGCATACGAATCATCAAAGTCACTTCAATACGCTTCGTTTTAATTTAATATTGGTCATTGCTTTCTAAAACAGTTTCAAATAAACAAGTTTAGTGTGCTTTCCAATTGTTTAGTTGATGTAATTAAAATAACGTTTATCTTCTATGAACAAAGCGATCTTTCATGGAACGACGATTACTATACATCGCGAAATTTCTGACAGTCTATCATAGATCAAGTCTGCACTAAGTAATCTAATTAACGAGTCAGTTTCCCGTAGAATGGTTTCATTGTTACAATGAAATCCAATCGTTCAGGATGTCCGATTGGCGGAGCCTTTTTCTTCCAAAATGATCATAAAAAAAGTACATAGTCTGTACTTTTTTTTCTTCTTTTTTTTTTCACTTATTACGTATAGATCGAGACGGGGCTCCTTGCTCTTTAGATACAATCCTGTCTGAGCATGACGTCACTGCTCGTAAGAACGATCAATACACGTCGAGAGCGCCAATAGATGGCTCATTCAATTTTAAATCTGTAGGTACGATGATCGATAAATTATAAATTCACCGTACTACAAATAACTATACACAATATTTTTAATAACTATTATTTAACAATATTTAGTTGAACAATAAAATTAATTAATTAATTATTTATACACTTTTAATTAATAATAACTTTAGACTTTAGAATGCACAATGTACAATATTCAATGTTCTATCAGGATTATCTATTTTACAACTCTTATTTATACCTTCGTTAATTTGTTAAGTATCCTTGACAATTATTTACAAACGTCTCCATCGTAATTTTGTTAAAATATTGATTTTTACATTTTAGTTTCTTATTTTAGAGTTTAACAAAGTTGGCGCCGTAAATTTATATGAAAATGAACTCTTCGACGAGACGGTTGAGAAACAGATGTCGCTACAAATCTTCTACTACTAGATTATTATTATTATTATTATTATTATTATTATTACTAGGAAAAACTAGTTATAATTAATGTTACGGTTTTTGCTGTTAATCTACAGCGCAATATTCTTATTCTATTTTCATTATACATCTCAAAGTACGAGCCACGTATCCAATGTACATCGATTGGAGTAAAAAAATTGTAATCAAATGACTTTCAGATTGCACATGAGAGGACGTATCTCGTACGTTGAACAAATTGTGATCTGATGTGCCATTTGAAGAATTTCGTATATTAGAGATATACGCGTTACATTTGATTTTGATTCTCTCGTCGTCCAATGTTTTCTTACAGAGATCATGACTGAAGTGATTAAACAAAAGAAGACCGGAACAAGCGGCGTACAATGGCGTATTCTGGTAGTCGATCAATTGGCCATGAGGATGGTGTCGGCATGCTGCAAAATGCACGATATCAGTGCCCAGGGCATCACCTTGGTGGAGGATATCAACAAGAAGCGGGAACCGTTGCCTACCATGGAGGCGATCTACCTGATCACACCGTGCAATTCCTCTGTCCAAAAGTTGATCGACGACTTCAGCAATCCTACTAGAACTATTTACAAAGTAGCCCACGTTTACTTCACTGAAGGTACGCTGCGTTTCGCTGCGTTTACGCGCATTGTCATAAACGAAAGCAATCAAACGAAATAATTCAAATGATTTGATTTTTCCCGCGTGCACACGAAAGTGTGCTATTCTCGACGATATTCTTTCACTTTTCCCAAGATACACATTTAACAGACAGGGAATTTTCGAAAAGAATGTTGCGCAGTGAGAAACGGACAGTCCGGTACTATCGATTCTAGTAATCCACATGAGATTTTAAGTATATCTCTTTACAGCATGCCCCGATGAGTTGTTCAAAGAATTGTGTCACTCCCTGGTAGCTAAACGCATAAAGACACTAAAAGAGATCAACATCGCTTTCATACCATACGAGGAACAGGTAATGCAAAGAGAACTGTAACAGAGAAATCAGATGTTTGATGACTATACGTTTTCCGTGGTGACGGACA